ACTAATGAGATAGAAACAAAAGAGCCAGTTGCCGCTGTCCTTTCTCTTCCATTCATATCCATGCTGCTGTGGGATGATTTCATAAACACCACTTTGATCTCTTTATTTTCCTGCTTAACACTTTGCAGTCACTGTAAATATATACAATTTTCATTTGACAACTATACCTTAATAAGACTGAGGAAAAAAAAAGAAACAACTTTGTGATGACCTCCCTTTGCTTATAAAGTCCCAAATACTTAACAATAAAAACTTTAAGGTTTTTGTGACCTAGTGCCCTCTGCCCTGTATAAATTCATCTCCTCCACTCTATTCCTACTGTCTTCCTGATCAATTCCTTAGTTTTCTCTCTCCCCCTATATTTTTCTCCACCTCTTACTGTCCTTTGAATAGATTTCTCCCTCTAAGGCACTGCTATACTCTTACTCAAATTGGATAATTTTCCTAATCTTTCAAATCACAACAGAGACTCAGCTTCCTGAGGGAAGTCTTCTTTGATATTCCAGTCTAAATTAAGTGTCTGTGTTCACTACCATAGCTCATGCTCTTTTGTAGCATAATAATATATATGATTATTCATGTAATACCTTTAAGACTCATAAAGGTAAGGCCACCGTCTATCTTGTTCATCTCTGTAACCCAGTGAAAGCAGAGTTTCTGGCCCACCATACCGGCTAAGAATGTTTTATCTACTTTTTGCTTACATTTATATTATTTGCTGTTTCCAAAGCTTCCATGGGAAGTTGAAAAGCAGTGTTATGTATGATATCATATGGAGTATTTGACTTAAAGGCACTAATTGAAAAGAAAAGAAATGACTTTTGTTTCATGAATGATAAATGAATTCCAAATACTCAGAACATGTGGATTGACACTTCATGTCTTTGAAAGCAAATAGTGTTTAAAGTGAGAATGGTTTTACTAAAAGGATAAAAGAAGAAAAATTGGATAACTGAGCTAAGTATGGTATTGGCTGCTACAGCAATCCTATTATAAAAGAAATAATATTTTAAATCTTCTCCTAATCATTTAACTATAGGTATGTCCCTAATACTATCAAAAAGCTCTTCTTATCTTTCAAATACCTTCACATTCTCTCAGAATTTATAAGAGCATTAAGGCTTTACTATCACTATAATTAGATCTACTGAAAAAAGTACCTTCTCATTTTTGCCAATTCCTGATTATTCATGGTGATGGCAGAGAGCCTTAGCCTGGATTACTAAAACCGGAGATCACTTCTAGCATATGGAAATTGGCCCCAACTCATTACGTCTATCAAAAATTTCTGTTGAAATACAAGTTCACCTTTGAGCTTCAGCAAATGTGCATTGATGCTTGAATAAATACTCTTCAGTATATGTAGTGAGTTTTGAAAATAGAAAAAAAAAAATAGAGTTGATTAAATTTATGTAAAGTAAGCCCTCAAAAGTATTCAAACTATCAGTTTGGTGGTTTCGAGTGGCCCATACTGAGCAGTTGGAATATTAAAGTTAGGTTTTATTAGCCACAGAGAAGAATAAAATGAACGTCTAGGAAATCTACAGAATAAAATGATTTACTTCATGATCATTTACTTACCTGATCACCAACTTAGAAATGTTAACAAAAATATCAGGGAACATTTTTTTATGTGATTCTAAATAGTTCAGTTACAATCTTCATGCTATTCCATTCATTCATGCATGCATTTCATACCACTTTTTGAACACTTATTTTGATCAAACATTGACATAACTTCTGCAAATGCAAGACTAAATAAGACATACTTTCTGCCCTTTATAGATCATTACAATTTCTGTAGCATAAGTATGACTGATATTAGAATAAATAAATGTTGAATCAATAAGAATCTCAAAGAAAAGTTCTAAAATGGAGTAAAATGCAAAACAAATGCCAAAAATCTGACTCTTCCAATCAATATAATATGGATGATATACCCGTTTGTTTATGCATTCTCCCCAATCTAACAGAATTTGTGAAACTTTTAGCATCTACTCATTTATTTATTTATTCAATAATGAAATTTTGAACACCTACTGTGTATCATACCATTCTAAGAATATATGGAATAATTTGTATTTCTTCAACATAGTTGCAGTAATTAATAATAGAGTTAGTGAAAATTGTGCACAAAGCACTGCTTCAGTTTTAAATACACATAAATATTTGCCACTTATAAATATAATTTCTTATAAGCTCCTGTAGCATAAAAATCATTGAAAAAATATGTACATTGCATACATGTTTAATTTAAATACTTTAAGGAAATATTTGATGATCTGAATGAATAGCCTGGTATTTATGATCCAGAAGCTTATGAAAAATTCTTAAAATTGCTGCAAAGATTGTGTTATCTGTAATCTGTGTATACTAGTCAAAATAATGACATTATTCACAAAACAAACACTGCATCTGTTCCCGGGAAAAGCTTAGTCTCTTATTTCTTTTGACAGTGTGCAGACCTGGGTTCTTCAAAGCCTCACCTCACAGCCAGAGCTGCAGCAAATGTCCACCTCACAGTTATACCCATGAGGAAGCTTCAACCTCTTGTGTCTGTGAAAAGGATTATTTCAGAAGGGAGTCTGATCCACCCACAATGGCATGCACAAGTAAGGAAACCCATGCATATTTGGTGATGCTAACTTTCACCACTCTGTAGAAACAGCATGATGGAGCCTGTTCTATTCTATTAACATTTCCCCCTAAAACAGGCATAATGTTTAGTCTTCTCTATATAGTTTCCACCAAATTTCAATTTCCTTGAGTAAGCATTGAAAAATTTGAGTCTCTTTTATCACTCACTGTTAGAAGCATCCATTTTTCCCTACCTTCAAATTCAACACTTGAAATGCAGATATAGAATTTTCCCTTGTATTTTGTGGCTTATTTTAGTGTTCGTGATAGACAAATATGACTTTGATAAATCCTCTTCCCTATCCACATTAAACCCTTTTTTCTTCTTCTTCTTCTTCCTGTGTCAGTTTGTGATCATATAATTATGCAGCAAATGGTGCCTTCACCATCTTGTTCTAACTTGCCCCACTAAGCTGCAAAGGTCACTGAGAAGGTCATTTATAAAACAAGACAGGAAACACTTCATGGACACGGAGAACTGGGAGTGGCAAATCAGACATATGAGTCATATTTAAACCAATTTTTAGCTAGGGTTTTCAAGCAGCTGCTATGTTTCTTGCTAGTGAGTGTCCTTAACTATTATTAGTAACATATTTGCTGATCATATACTTAGAGTAGACGAATAGTAAACATCAATTCCAACATTTGCAGTGACGCATACACATCTCTCAATGCTTTTGGTTCTATTATTTTTCTAGTTTTCCATATATTTCTGGGAACGTAACATTTATGCATTTGTTTACTTGATGACAGTACTTTCAGAGTTGTCCACAAGTAAAGTCTCTATAGC